ACCATGATTTTACTTGCTTGGTTAAATGTGACCAAAAGAAACGATTTTTGATATTATTTAAGGTGATTTTGAAACCTAGATGTGTTAGACAATGAAATTTGTCAAAGATGGTTTTCCGAAATTTGTTGGGTATGAGAAAGATCTAAGATCTTGACTTTTCATTTTAGATAAATGGTATTTTTTATTCACTTTTAAAGATTGTTTTTGTAATAAATATTGTAGTTCTTTATCGGAACTTTGCGTTTCTTTAATTATTTGTTCAGAAGAATAAATAGATGTTAAAGAATCGATAGTGATTCTTGATAAAGTGTCCGACACTGTGTTGCATTTTCCTTTAATGTAAGAGATTTCAGAGGTTGGCTCAACTATGTAGTTAATGAATCTTGTTTGCCTAAGAGTTTTTTCTGTTTTCGAAAAGAGAGCGGTAATTAGAGGTTTATAATCTGTGAAAATTTTGAATTGGTTTCCTTGTAAGAAATGCTTGAAATGTTTAACCGCGGAATACATAGCTAAGAGTTCTCTGTCAAAGGTGGAGTACTTCATTTGGCTGTTAGACATTCTTTTGGAAAAGAAGGCTACTGGTGAAGTAGTTCCATTGTTAGTTTTCGAAAGAACAGCTCCTATTCCTGTTTCTGAGGCATCAGTATAAAGAAAAAACGATCCTCTCAAGTATGTGAGAGAAGTACAACATTGACCAGAGAGTCTTTGGCTTTAGAAAAAGAATGTTCTTCTTCTTTTGCCCAGAGTGTAATGTTTTTGATTTTTTCAAGTTGCAATTTATTTACTATTTATGTAGTGGGAATAAGATTTCTGATAGGTTGGGTATGAAACGATGATAAAAATTTAACGTTCCTAAGAAACGTTGAAGTTCCTTTACTGTTTTTGGGGTTTCGCGTCGCTACAGATCTAGTCGAACCGTATCATGACAGTTGGCGTGGCATTACAACCGATAATTTTTTTACCAGTGTTCCATTATAGTGAGTTTACACATGCATGGATTTAGTGGCGCCAATAAAAACTGGCGCGCCAGTAAAATTAAATTACATGTGTAAACATCAACTGGCATGCAAGTTGAAACCATGCATGCATGGATCGGAAAAGTCTGCACCCTTCTGAAATTACTGGTGCCAGTGATGAGTCTAAAACATGTAACCATGGCAACATAGGTGAGTGTCCACAAAAATACAAAATTTTTTAATGTCAAATTTAGGTTATGTTTCCTTGCATTCAAATTAAATCCCAATTACGTTAACACATTCAACGATAACGTATAATTATCCACCTTAAACCTAGAATATATCTATTTTCCTTTCGGTTTAGGTTCTAATTTGTGTATATAGTTGTAGTACACTTTAAAAATGAAACTGGCGTGTCACTCATTTTTTACATGTGCCACGCCAGTGGCATATGTAATGTAAACCTTTACTGGCGTGCAAGTAGAACTGGCGCAACTACTGGCGCCACTAAATCCATCCATGTCTAAACTCACCTTTAACGCATTACTTGTTAACTAAAAATCTTACTCTTCTTGGAACCGTTCGTAAAAATAAACCTGATACACCTTCACAACTAAAACTAACTACTCGACCTGTGGAATCATCAATGTTCGCTTTTACGAAGGACTTAGCAATGGTGTCTTATATTCCGAAAAAAGGTAGAATGGTGTATATTCTGCCCAGTCAATATGATGAAGACAAAGTCTGCCCAGAAAGCAACAACAAGCCCTATATGATCCTACATTATAACAAGGCTAAGGTCGGAGTTGACCATGCACTAGAAGAACAGCTCGTTGGCCGTACCGACTTTTTATGAATTTGGTAGGTATTTGTGCATTAAATTCTTTTATTTTGTATATTGAAAACCACCACGAATGGAAAAAGTTATATCCTTCACGAAGGCGGCTTTTTCTGCTCGAATTCGGAGATGATCTAGCGCGTAAGAATATGGAAAAGCATGCTAAAAACAAATACCTTCCGGCATATGTAAAAACGGCACTTCGCGACTGCAACATTTTGGTGGCAGATACTCAGGTTGCCGACGAAACTACAGTAGAGTGCCGATTAACCGTGGTAATCAGGGGAAAATAGAAATCGGATAATCGAAAACCACGTTTTTGTAACTTAACGTTTTTAAAATTATTGAAATACAAATGTTTAATTTTTGTTATAAGAAAAGATTAGAGTAGAGAATTGTATAATGAAAGAAATAAACTGGTGTAAAACAACGTTCTTTACTATAAAACTAAATAGTAACAAAACACTTAATTATTTTTTAAAAATGTCAGTTATTTTTACTTGTTTTATTTTCTGGTTATTTATCTTTTGTTTAATATTTGTTATGAAAGTACGAATTTTTAAAATGGCTATATCATCTTGCTGTTCCATAAGTTTGAGTTTTAGCATCTGCTAGTGCTTCCTTACAACTGACTTTAGATTGTAGTTCTAAGGTGTCATCTTCTACGTTATCGTCGCTACATTCTTGGAATGAACTCGGTTTAGAGATTAGTTTGGTGACACTATTGACTAGATCATCGTCGGCCATGTATTCACAGTCCAAAGCACTAATTTTCAATTTTTTTAAAATTTTTAACAAGTTTATTATGAAGTCAAACGTTGCTCATTCCCTCATTAAACAAGTAAGTTGGTTTTTGCTAGTTAATTTTTCTTGAATTATTATCAAACTTTTAATTGTTGATGTTTTCTTTTGTAAAAACCTTTTAGCATTGAATAGCTCTGAGGAAGTTGTTTCATTAATCATCATTTTGACCGTTAAACCGGACAAATTCATCGTTTTTGTTGCTCATGTACGGCCGTGGATACTTCTTGCCGTTATATTTAGGCAAATACTAAACCCCTCTCTTTAATAACGTTTGATAACGTGTCACAAAAAATTGTAACCTCAACATTGTCAGCACTAAGCTGTTGTCCTTGAATTTGCAATTCTCTAATTCCATGCTTTTCTTTAAAACGTCGAAACTAACCTGTTGAAAGTGTAAGTCTTTCGGTGATTTGTAACTTTTCTGCAAAGTATGGTACTTTAGCTAACACACAAATCGGACATCGGCTCTCCCAATGCTCTTTGCTGAAAAAGCCACTTCATCATTACATTTTCCAGGTGTTCACTCTTCGCACCTTTTATTGTTTTCCTATGTGTAGGGCCCACTGATTTTTCACACATAGAAACGAATGTTTCCAATTTGGGCTGCTATTTCACTAAATCACGTACGGTTTATTGTCCAACTCCATATTCGTCAGCCAAAGTGTCAGTTTGCTGACACTTTCACCATGTTCACGTCTTTTAATAATTTCAAACTTTTTTCTATTGTTAAAACTACCCGTTTTCGCTTAGGAGTCATTACTACAGTACAACAACGCGCTACAGTACAGTACCTACAAAAAATTAGGCGTAGCGGAGTACTTAAAGAATTTCTTGTTAAAATTAAAAAATATATAAATCACAAGCACGGTTAATCCGAACCCTGGTTAAATGGTTCACGGATAATCGTTACTTTATTGTACTACTACTGGCCAGGTAAATTTGAATAGAAAACGAGCCAGGTGTCATCAGTGTCCACGTAATATCGACAGCAAAATCAACACAACATGTACTTATTGTAAGAAGTTTGTTTGTGAACAGCATAGGAAGGCACAAAAAATTATTACATGTAATAACTGTATATAACATCAAACTATTGTTTTTGTTAAACCACAATATATTGATATTTAAAATACTTAAAAATCAATTATTCTTTCGAACTACTATTATATGCACCCTTTAAAAATTGAAATTAACTGGGGTCCCTGAGAGCCTCGCGCGGGCATGTACGTAACTTTTAATAGCGTGGGCATTTAAGGGTTAAGCAATGTTAGTATTTCATTTGGAGTAGTGTATATTTTTCGCTGTTGATTTAGCTCTTTACTTTTTCTGTGCTTTTGGTGATTGCTAGTGAAATTTCAGAGACTCAATCAATTTGCTTTTCTGTGCTTAGCATGATTGATTAGTTCTCTTGCACTTCTTTCTTGAAATAGTTCCCATTTTACCATTTACAAGAGAATTTTGTCTTGGAATCGGTAAGGGTGTTGTATCATATTTAATTGCTACTGGAAGGTGGTCTGAGTCGAAGGTGGTCGAGTTGAATGTCTAGAATATCTGATTGATAATCATTTTTATATGGGTAGTATGTAAAGTCAATTGGAGCTGATATTTGGAAATTAAGGATATTAGAACGATTTAAAAGTTTGTGGCCTGAAGGGTATGAGGCTCTACATCCCCTTCTCAGATTTACTTAGATGAGTCTTTGTTATGTTTTTGTATGAGTAGTTTCAGACAGTGAAGTTACTTGAAGTTAATTGTTGAATTATCGTTTTTCCTTATTAACCTCAACTTTAAGAACACGTTGCTTATGAAGCAATGAAAATAACAATTATGAACTTTGCAAATTCTCATCATTAATATTTGGCAATACTTTCACTAAATTCTATAAAGAAACTTTTTTCTTGCAAATTAATTAACTCACTAAATTAAATTGCCGTTTCTCTAAACTTAACTTACCTAAATCTATTTCAATTTCCTTTGAAGCTTTAGATCCTTTAGGATCTATTGTTTCTTGTCTTCACCCCAACAAATTTCAAAGCGAACGGACATTAAAGGAGGACCTAAATCCGAATCAAACTCAATCCCGGTTGTGATCGTATAATAATTAACAGATAAAAGATAATAGAAATTTTTTAAGACAATTTTCAAGTTAAGTCGTTTAACTTAATCGTTTTAAATAATTTTAACCGACCTTGTAAATATTTTTTCCTTTATCGAGATAAAATCCATCAAAACGTGATTTACATGAATGTAATTTTGTTTTTACTAACACCAATATTTTTTTATGCACGTGGATAAAACGTTGATCGTAAGCGACACAAGGAGTGGAATATAGATGACCTATTTTGATCGATTCTATGAATTTCAACGAAAACCGAAATAAATAAAAAAAATAATTCACTCACCCTTCGTGTTTTGAACGTTTCTATAAGAGTATCGACGTCTGTAATTGTTAATGGACAATTAATATGAACTCGATTCGATTTTCGTTCACCCCCGGTTTGATCATCGTGATCTGCATCACTCGTTTCTTCTGGACTTAAATCTGGAGATCCTAAATAATATATTAATAATTAACAATAATTCTTAAATAAGGATATAACTGTATCTTTATAGATCAACAAATTTTATGCGATTCAAATCGGTTGATTTGAAATCGATTCCCACAAAACAAAGGAAAAAGAGATACGAAAGAAAATATGTAAATTAGAATTTAATATTTTATTCACGAAAAATCGTTATCCATTTATGCCTTTTCCTTCCACCTATTCTTTTTCCTTTTTTTACTTACTTATCGAGAGCATTTCCAATGATGATAAAACGGATTCTTTTCGTCTTTTGGCTCCAGCACCCGGCATATGGTTGAGAAGAGCGTTGAATAAATTATACAACTGGAAATAAAAAGAAAAGGAAGAAAATAAGAAATCAAAATTTATTTGGACCGAGTTCAAAAGGGATCTCTTTCATTATGTCGCGAATTTCTCTTGGGACATGAATATTAAATGCAAAACCGTTGAGATAATAAAGTGTTTACCAAAAAATCGATGCGAATTGGACAGCGTACATTCAAATATAGACACAGACTTTATACTTTACTACATAAACTTTATAAACTGATAGGGAGCTGCCATCTTATAATCTAATAATTTAATAATCACCTTGAGAGTGATTACTCAACGCAATTATCGCAAAATTTCTTCTCCGAATCGATAAACAATTTTTCGGTTGATAGAACTAATGAATTTCCGATGAATTTTAGAGACAAATATTCATATTGCCCTTATGCAAAAGAAACTCTCAACAGTAGAGTTATGTGTACTGGAACAATTAAACAGTGTGTTAACGCGTAAAGCACCGCAAATAACATATTTTGTACACTTGCTGCCTGTTATGACATTGTGGTTTGGAGCAATTCTCCTGACCATCATCAAATATTCAAAATCAAAATAGAACTGTAATTAAACCTGTAAATTATGTGTATACAACACATACCTTTCCATCCGTGAAGCACTGCGCATTACCAATATTATATGTATATACATATAATGTACCTATGTACCTATACACATATTATATGTATGTAATTTTTCCTAAGATGGGGATAAAAGTTAGGGATAATAATAAATAAGAATAAGTTTGTCGTAGTTATGAATAAATTTAGTAAATTAGGCTATGTAGAATCATTTTGTTAGATTGAAAATAAGATTAATAACAGTTTCCAGGTATGATTTCAAGAGGGAAATTCTTCTACAATCAAATTCCTAGTGGAACATGAATACTTCCTAAGACGTGGGAATAAAGACAGTGAACAACGTACAGCATGGCAAATCTATCTTGTCCAGTGTGGGTTAGATGCACTTGGCATGTTTGATTATTCTAAACCTAGTTCTTAAGAACAGATATAAAAAAATTGTATCTCAAAAACTAATTGAGATATTATCATGAATTCAAAGCAATTTAAAGCTGTTCTGAGCAATAACTTTAATTATGATTCTCTTTTGCGATATATTCGAAAGCTAGATTCAACCAACGGAGAAAAGTAGGTTGTAATACAAACAATTAATAGTTAAATATAGTATGGGTCTTTTATGAAAAGAGACTCCCATCTACCAATTCGTGTAGGGCAAAGGCGTCAAGTTTCAATGTAGATAGTTTTTACGACAATTACAGCCGTTATGGATCGTTATAAGTTAGACCCACAAAACATCTACAATGCCGATGAAACTGGTGTACTACACATCAAAAACTGAAAAATGATCCAGAATTCGACGATTTTCTGCAAGAAGAAGACAGCGACGAGGAAAGTGATCATGTGTTAGTTAATGAAGACGAGGATGATGAAATGTCTGGCGATAGTTTAGATAAAATTGATGATTATAAATTGTAACCGAAACAAACCGTAAGGGTACTGACTTCTACGAACGATCCAAGTCTGGCAACTCTCTGAAACAAAGAACATTTGTTCCAACAAGTAATAATGAAATATTGGCCTATATTGGACTTTTACTTACAATTAGTGCTGTCAAAAGTAGTAAGGAATCTGTCGACATGTTATGGTGGTAGTATAGAGCTATCATTCCAGCTACTATGTCTCGTAATCGTTACAACGAACTCACGCGATTTCTTAGTTTTGATAATTTCGAAACTAGAGAAGAAAGAAGAGAAAACGAGAAACAGGTTGCGATTAGAGAGATATTTGATGTATTTGTTGCAAAATGTAAATTTAGCTGCAATCTAGGGGTCCACCTCATAGAGGTAAAGCTCCATTCCGTGTGTATATGAAGAGCAAACCTGCAAAATGCGGGATCAAGATTTGGACCGTGGCATACTGCGATTCTGCATACATAATAAATATGTAGGTATATCTGGGTAAGGCTATGTCTTAGGTAAAATTATGTGAGTATGAATTGTGAGCATATTTTTTTTTGGGAAAAATGACTAAGCAACCAGATAAGAACTAAGAAGAGAGAGTCGTACTAGACTTAGCACGACTCTTTACCAGCAGGACATGGACATGGAATTATCGGATAAACTTTGGCTGAAGGGAATGACCCTCTGTGGTACCCTTAGGAAAAATAAAGCGTTCATACCAAACGAATTGCTTCCTAGATCATGGAAACCTATAGATTCTTCTATGTTCGCATACAGAGACAGTCGTATTCTAATGCTATTAAGCCAACACATCGATGATAAGGTAGAAGGAGAAGATGAAGATTAGAAGCCTGAAATTATATTGTCATACAACAAAACTAAAGGAGCTGTTGATGTAGGTGGTCAGCTTGCTCAACAATATTCAACACAAAGGATATTCTGTATATAGCTGCCATCAATGCATTCAAGGTATGGATTTTTTCTAATCCCAGCTGGAAAGAGGATGATAAAGATGCACGAAGAAAATTTGTGGTGCAGTTGGGAAAGGACTTAGTAAAAGAAAACATCATTCGTCGTTACAACAACAAATATATACGCCAACTAAAAGAGCTTATGATACAAGTTGTACCAGAACTACATAGTAAAACACTCACTTCGAACTTGTTTCTGAAGAAGGTTGCAACATGGCATCCGAAACGTCAAACATTTTTTCAAAAAACGTATGGCTTAACCCAAAAGTTTCTAATTCTAGGTCTAGTGTTAGTTCTAGTGATAGTGCTAGTGTTAGTTCTAGTTTTAGTTTAATTTCACAGGTAATTTGTTTTCGCTTTCAGTTTTATGGCAGGCCATTATGAACGAGAACAGGCACTATTATTAGCTCTCCGGGAAGAAGTTGAAGAACCCGAAAATCCCATAGACTCCGAAAGTGAAGGCGAATCTGATTTTGCATGTGACAGTAATGATAACTCTGACAGCGAGGAGGATGCGGAAGAAGTAACTGAAAGTGAAATACCAAAAATCTGTCGAAAATATTTAGGCAAGGATGGTACAACATGGGCTTCACAACATTTTCCCAACAATTACCTATCACACACCTACCAGGCGTAAAAAGAACAGCCAAGAATGCTAAAACACCAATTGAATGTTTCAATCAGTTTATAACTTCTGATATAGTGGACGATATTGTAATGTGCACCAATATGAAAATACAGCAGAAATCTGTTTGCTACGATGAAAATCATCAATACGTTATACGGGATACGAATGCAACAGAAATAAAAGCTTTATTCGAACTTCTCTATCTGGCAGGAATTTTAAAAAGTTCTAGGCTAAATCTTGAGGAGCTTGTGTCCGCAGATGGAACTGCGATAAGTTTAATCAGAGAAACAATGTCTTTGCAAAGGTTCATTTTCGTGCTGTCTTGCTTACGGTTTGACAACATAAATAATCGTGCGGAAAGAAAAAACATTGACAAGATGACAGCCGTGAGGGCCTTATTTGAGAAATTCGATTGAGAATAGCCAGAATTCGTTTACTTCAAGCGAATATCAGCATTCAGGGGTCGCAGTGCTTTTCGCCAATACATGCCCAAAAAGCCAGCATATGCAAAATCATACTTTGCTGTCAACTTAGAATTGTACGTGGGACTGCAACCTGATGGTCCATTCAAGTTGAGCAATAAGCCAAACGATGTGGTTCTTAGTCTTATAGCTCCAACTTTCGGCACAAAACGAAATGTAACGTTTGATAATTGGTTCAGCAATTACGATCTGATGCTAACACTGCTGAGACAACACAAAATTACATCCGTCGGCACGGTTAGGAAGAACAAACGGCAAATACCCGAGAGCTTCAAAGTAGTGAAAAACAGACCAGACCATTCCAGCAAATTTGGTTTTCAAAAAGATATGACTTTAGTTTCCTATACACCAAGAAAAGGTAAGGTTGGACTTCTTATGTCTACGTTACACCATACTCCAGATATTGATGAAACTACTGGGGATAAAAGTAAACCGGAAGTAGTTTCGTTTTATAGTGCTACAAAAGGTGACGTAGATGTCGTTGATGAGCTGTCGGCGAGGTACGATGTATCCCACAATAGTAAAAGATGGACACTCACGATTTTCTATGCTCTTCTAAACTGTGCTGGTATAAACGCAAGAGTGATATATCAGATGAATACGGGTGATTTTCAAATGAAGAGAAGATAGTTTCTGAAAACATTGGCCATACAACTGTTGACTGAGCACAAAGCAATCAGAGCTATGAATAAAAGGCTCCCACGTGAATTGCAACTCCCCAGGCCAGCAGACGAAATGAACGTTGATGAACCACCAGGGAAACGACATAAACTATCTAGAAGATGCGAATTTTGTGCTAGGAAAAGTGACAGAAAAACATTTTATAGATGTGCAAAGTGCAAAACAGCTGTTTGTTTAGAACATTCTGTGGTATCGTGTGATGACTGTATGACTGCTCGGGCATGAATAAAGGAAATCAGTTTCTGCTTTCTATTTTCCAATATTTCATCTTTCTTTTTGATGTAAATCGCCCTTTTTCGCTTCTACTTATCAATATTTCTTTAGCTAACAATAAGTTTGTCATACCCCACCACAAAGGTAGTATGCAAAAAACCCACTACACTGTCGCCGGGTTAATATCTATTTATCTAGTTTATTATTTTTTTCCAAATGAGTATCGTTGACTCCTCCCCTACCCAAAACGGCATATGACATAAGGGATTGCACAAGGGAGTAGTAAACAACTTTCAGGTGTCTTTTATATATAAACTGTGACAGGTATCTAAATCTGCTTGTTAGTCCTTGGATTTTCTTTACAATGTTATCAGTCTGTAAATTCCAACGTAGGTGTTGATCAATAATTATGCCTAAATATTTTACCGATGATGCTTTTGGAATAAATGTGTCCAGATCAATAACGAGATTTCCCAATTCTGGCAGATGATTGCTATATGAAGCGAAGGACAGATATTTAATTTTTTCTACATTTAACGTTAATTTGTTCAATTGAAACCATTTTTTGACCATTGTGAAATCCATTTCAGCTTCCATCTTTAGTTGTTCCCAGGATTTGGATTTATAGAATATAGCGGTGTCGTCAGCAAAACTGATCACCGATCCCCTCAGTTTAAGATTCATTAAACTATTTGTGTATATGCTAAATAAAAGAAAAACTGTACCTTGTGGGAAACCATATGTAGTTGTTTTTGTTTCGCTAATCACACCATTTATGTTAACCATTTGTTCGCGATTTAGATAGTTTTTAAGTATGTCGTATATGTGACCTCTGATCCCGTATGCGTACAGCTTTCTTAGCAATATTTTGTGAGAAACCGTGTCAGACGCTTTTGACAGATCGACAAAGATGCACATTGCGGAAATTTTTTCATCCATAGCTCCTGCTTTAAAGCCAAATTAGTTACGTGAAATAACATTATTTTTATCAAAAAACTTTACAAGTCTACGCTTTAGAATTTTTCACCTTCGCTAACGTTGAAATTAATGTTATTGGTCGATAGTTTTTAGTCAGATGTCTGTCATCATCTTTAAATATTGGCTTTATTACTCCGATGTTTAATGCCTTTGGAAAATAACTAGCAGCAAAATATGTACCTATTTATAGTTGCAGACAGTGGAGACACTATGATATCTGTGATTTTGATTAAAGTTTCTGCCTTTATTTCATCAAAACTAGATTCTTTCTTTGGTTTTAGACTTTTAATGATTAATGACTTTGGTATATTGAACTTTGTACATATGTAATGTTGGCTGATCAATTCTGTTAGCGTACTCTATTCCCAATCCTCTTATCTCCATTCACTACTCCAGCCTGTACATACATACATTAATCTGTGTTATTTTGGTTTCAGGTTTCTTTTTGTTACAAATATCGTTAGCACAAGTCCACAGTGCCTTTGTTGAGTTCTTGTTTTTACTTATTGTATTATTTATATATTCTCTTTTGTGTTTCTGAATATCTCATGTTAAATTTTTTTTAACTTGATTGTACTATTCTTTAAGTGATTCGTTATTTGGATTCATTCGTAAGTGTAGAGACTTTTCTGTTCAATCAGTTTGAACAAACATTTGTCAATCCACGGTTTTTTTATTTTTTTTTAAATCCTTTTTCTTTACAGTTTTCGTAGCGGTTTTTATGCTATTTTTCAATACATCTATAAATTTCTCGATCATAGTGTCACTTATTTCGCTTATGAAATTCCAATTTTACAACCTTAATTTCTCTCACATCACTGTGTACTTAATGAATGCTTTACACAGCGTCTTTTCCATAACGTTTTTCAAATTATAAGAGTCAGGCAGTTTAATTTGAAGAATGATAGGATCATGATCAGTCTCGTCACTTATATTGTAGATATACGACTTGCATATCGTTTGCCAACCTATTTTGACAAAATAGTGGTCCAAGCAAGAATTACTTACCTACCCTTCTTGTGGTCTCATCAATATGTGATACAAAGTCCAATAGCGTTGGTCTTTCTAGATATCAATACAATAACAGTTCAGTGTCTTTGCAATAACAAAAAATGGATATTTTAATTTGTTTTAAGGCTCCAAACATTGGGGTACAAATGTACCCCACCTGGTAGTTATCGTAAGAAAAATAGGTTAAGAGGATGAGGGTTAAGCTAGTGGATAAAGTTGCAAGAGAATTATATTTCGTATCATTATATTATCTTTCTTTTCTATATACTCATTAGATTAGGTTTGATGCGTTGTATTTTAGATAATATGGAATAGTGTAGAAATAAAGTTAGTATTTCTCGTTGGTTGATGGTGGGGTTGAATTCGCTGGTTAGTTGTCAGGTCGTTCGTCATCATGTTTTATGCATGGTTGACGGATGTTATGAAAACATCGTTGCTTTTCGGTAATATATTCTTGATTAATGAATAATAACACTAGTCTACAAAAAAAAATCATAAAATGTACATTTGACGCCACTGTATTTTTCTTATGTACAGGGTGTCCCAATTTCGATGTCCGCATAGGCTATCTCCGAAACTAAAAAAGATAGAAAAAAGTAGCTTACATGTCATGATCTCGTTTTTCGAGAAAATGTTAATATCGAAAACTTCGAACAGCTATAGTCTTTTGTTTTCGCCCTATCGGCAAAAACTGAAAATTTTGCGAAAACAACAATCGCGAATATCTCACTTATTATCAAAGATGGAGTGTTATAAATAAAACATTATATGGGCAACTTTTTACGACGAATTCAGTGGCGTAGGTAGAATTTTTTTCCCATCTTTTGTTTTCGAGATTTTAGACGTAGCTTTATTTTTTTAAATGGAAACCATAGTTAGCTATGACCTAAAATAATTTGTTATTTTCTTCTGATAACAAATATATATAGTTTGTGGGGTATATTTCTTATAGTTATTGAATAATTAACAAAAACTCATTTTATTCTATTTAAAACTATTGTATGTATTTAAAAGTCAATGTTGTTATGGTGATAACCACACCATAATGGAAAACATTGTTTCCAATTATTGCCAAAGTTTGTAATAGTATTTAAAAATTCACTAACAACTCTGGCATTATGTGCTGGTACTCCGTCATAATGAAAATATATCATTTGAGACATATTTAAAGGCAAATTGTCGACCAAAGGCTCAATGTGCTGCCTTAATATATTGAGATATTTACCTGAGTTTAAGTTTTTATGGTAGATACTATATGCCAAATATCTATTATCTAAAAGGGCACACCATATATTGAACCCCAATCTTCTTTGAACACTCAGAGACTTCATCGGTCCAGATGACATTTTGAACAAACAGCATATTATTTCATTTTTCTAAATATCATCTACACAATTCTAATCTTAGATTGATATCTCCGGCACGTAAATAATGAGTGAGCCCCGCTTTGTATGGATTATACTTATTTTTCTTTCATATTCGGGAGCAGCGGCTGTTGGGTCTGACGTCTTGTTCAATTTCTCTGCAAGATGTTGAAGGATTTATCGCAAGTAAAGCCAACACATTGACTTCATCCTCTTGCAGATTATTTTGGTATGTTTTTGCACGTGGTTTGGGGAAGGACCAAAAATCTATTAAATTTTCTGCTAATCGGCTGAAGGTTCTTATATGCGGTTGTCTTCTTTCCGAATACCTTGTGAAATACACTGACCGGCAAAAAAAAACGGCCACTAAAATTTAGCCACAATTTCAAAGCTGAGTTACTCGCGAACCACTCATTCGATTTTGATGATTCTTTTTTTGATCGAAAGGTTGATTCTTCTGTAACAATCCTGCAATCGATTTTTATTAGGACATTAAATTGAGCATATACGGGGTGCAAGAATGAGAATAATTTTTTTTCTCGAAATTTGTAATACCCTGTGAGGTGCAGATACTACAGCAGACGGTGTTAACTCGAATCAAACGGTAGCCCAATCGTTTTAGAGCGAACGCCTGTGAAAACAAAACAAACAAGCATAACAAATCTAAGGTGGAGCGCTAGGTAGCGTATGAGAGTTGTTTCGAATAGTAAATTGACAGTTGTTAAAGATGCCATTGTCAGTAACTGATGTTGCCCGTATTGTTATTTTAATTGAGGATGGCAAAAGTCAGCGGTACGTTGCCCATACGTTGGGTATACCACGAACAACAGTTCACGATACCTGGAACCGATATGTGGAAACAGGAAATTTTACTAGGCGGCAAGGTTCCGGTAGAAGACCTAAACACTCTGAGAAATCGTAGAACGACAGTTGTAGAAACTCGGCATCGTCTTCAAATGGTGCGTGGGATTGATGTAAGTGAAAGAACCATTCGTCGAAGACTTGCTGAAAGTGACCTGACTGCAAGAAGACCTGCCAAAACACAGCGCCTACTCCAGAGACATCGGCGAGCACGTCTTCAATTTGGGTGCGTACATACGAATTGGGGAATGGAACAGTGGGGTAAAGTGCTCTTCACTGATGACGCTCACCTGAGGTTATCAGTGAAGGTCGAGAATGAGTGTGGAGATGTCGTAATGAAAGCTTTGCGACCTGCACAATTTCGGAAAGAGTACCTTTCCATGGAGGTTCGG